AATCCTGTATATATCATAATTTTTTTTTTGTAAACTATTAAAACACTAAGATTATTAAAAAAAATTTTATTCAAGTTAAATTTAAAAAATATTTATAAAATCTTTAAAGTGTAAATTTACAATATAATGATTATTTCACCTATTTTCAATTTAAATATAAATAATTAAAATTCGAGAGATAATTTTTGATAGATTGATTTAATAATTTGAAATTAAAATAGTAACAATATTAAGTGGAAAATTTCAACTCATAATTTTAATATTAAAATGAATTTATGTACATATGATTTTGTTGAAAATAAAGTTACAGTTACGTTTTGTAACAGATGCGCATTTATCAATGAAATACACATAAGCAAAGTTTGTTTTAGTAGTTAACCAATGCATAATGGCATTCATTTTAGATCATAAACTGCTATTTTTTTAATACTAAATAAACATTATGGATCCCATAAACGATGATAAAATACATTTAACAATAATTCAATAGGGGGGGAATGGCAAGCAGAGTATAACTTAAATTTTTATTTTAATTAAAATTTTTTTTAGATGTTTATGTAATTTATAAAAGAAAGAAATATCAGATTAAATAAAAGATATTAAATAATTCTAAATTCTCATTATCCTAAGCGTAAAAAAATGAAATAGTAAATAATAATAACTTTATTTATTACATTAGTTGATTAACTATTTTTAATTTAATTGTTTTTATATTAAGTTAATTAAATAGATCACAAAATTTCAAACATGAGATAAAACATGCTTCATCTACGAAATTAAAATGAAAACAATAATAAAGTTTAAGTATAAATATTATTGATATTTATAATATTCATGTTATTAGTGAAAAACATACAAAAAATAATATTACATTCTTTGAGTATGGATAATTTTTATTAATGTAGAATATTAAGTTAATTTAATAAAACTAGTGAATATTTTGAATATAAAGAAGGTCATGCGAAGTGGACTTGCACCACACTGGTTACGAGAACTACACACGTAGTTTAACACCTAATTATGTGTTATTACAATGAAACCTAATTACTGAGCAATAGTATCTAAATTAAGCTAGTCTCATGTTTGAAATGAATCAGAGCAAACGTGTGAAATAATAAATATAATATCATATATTATATGTTTTGTAAAATTTCTACTACATACATTACATATAACCATTTAAGGCAGTAAGAACACTGAACACATCAATTATTTGCAACTGGTGAAAACAGGTGTTTAAAACAATACAAGTTCTCATCGAGAACCTTTCGCATAGATACATCTTCAGATGAGAGATTTATACGAAGTTCAAATCCCTCGGGATAAAATGGGGTTGACATATTCAAAAACAAATACAGAAGCTTTTAAAAACGGCATATATGCCATCCAAGATGTAACTAATGTTAATCCAAAATACTCAAACATTTTGAAGTTAAAATAGAATAACTATTGCACCATTTTTTCTACATAAAGTCAATACTTTTTTAAAAAAGTAATTCTTAAAATTGACATAAAAAATAAAATAATAAATACAAAGATTATAAACGGATGCAAATAAAACATAAAATTATACTCTTATTAGTCTTGTGAACAATCCATTCAGAAATATTTTTTTAATATAAATAATTGACGTAACTAAGAATAGACCTAATTTTAAGAATTTAAACATACCTAAGCAAAATTAAATTTGGTTATTTATTACATATAAATACAACAAAAATACTACGTCATTCTTTAAACTAATGTCACCTATTTTAAAACTATAGAACAGAAAAAATAAAACAATTTGCACTGGTTAGTCAAAAAACGTCGATGTAAAAGACAGTCGTCGTGGAATAGTATCTAATTTTCAAATACAAATTAATTTTTTTAAATTTACTTAACCCTACATAATTTTTGTTGTATCAATTTTTATTGTTTTTATATTTAATATTATCAATAAATTTGCGAAGATCAGTTATTTCGATAAGTAATATTACATTAAATCGATATGCGATAAATTGACAGAATACCATGACACTTCCCCTTAAGCAATCCCTCATATAAGGGTACACAATGATACCTTGTACATATATTAAGTATTTTACCGCCAAATTCATCGATTTGTTTATTATTTATTTTTATATCAATTATGGGAAATGGGCAGTAGTCTAAAGCTGCGTGAGACATACAAAGATAAACGGTGAAATATTTCAACCTATGTTGTTTTTCCCTCATAAAATTGTATGGTTATTAGGATAGTATAATACAATTTAGTTAATATAATCTATTTACAATGTAACATAACAATTTAATCTATTTTACAGGCGTAATGAAATGAGTGTCATACATTCACACAAAAAAAGAAATTAAATGGTGAAAATACAGTTTTTTTTTTTTATTGGAGGGGTAATTTAATTTTTCTTATATATATCCCCTAGGACGAATTTTTAATTTATAACACTGATATCAGTAAAACATAGTTCATATTTTTTTTTATTAGATATGCTTTTTAAATATTTAATAAAAATTGATTATTGTAGCTAATATTAGTTAAAATTAATATTTTTAATTTTAAATTAAAAGAATATTCTTTTAAAGATATTAAAATGTTTGAAATATTTATTTATTACGATATAGATGTAAATATTACTTCAAAAAAATAGTCATTTGAGTAAGAAATTCAGGATTTCTTTTAATTGAACACATGTAGAATATTTTTATTAGTTTCTACCACTTATATTACATCCTTTCTTCCAAAAATGTATTTAATAATTTTAAAAATTATCAATTTTGTTTAGTAACAAAACTTCATAGAATTTTTAAACAAATTATTAATAATTAATACATTTATTACTAAAATATTCATTAAAATAAAAAAAACTGTTATATATTTTTTTTGATACAATTCATATTCAATTAGAAAACATGAAATAATTACATTTATCTTGTAAAAAAGTTTTGAAAACGCCCATTAAAAAAAACACAAACATACAACACTCATGAAAGAATATTTTTAATAATGTATAGGTACATAAAAACAATGATACTGTCCTATAAATCATTTTATAATTCATGCAGTAGAATATGATACTTTATTTCAAACAATAACACAGTAAATAAGTGACTAACGACATACATTGTCATGTTGTGATTATTATGATTATTAGACATAAAATATGCACTATTCCTTGTCGTATATATGCCATACAGCTATTTAAGAAGCAATATCTAATAAAACAAAACAAAATTTAATCGAAAAAAAAATGAAGTCGGATTTTTAAGCCATTATTAAATTAGGTGTTATAGACTTGTACGCATCCGGAGAGGTATTCATTCTATTAAGACACATAACTGTTTGGAATAATAATAAGCTACAATATTTATTTGGAATATTAATCACGTAAGTACTACATTGCTCCGTAAAGTATCAAAATATCTTTTATACAAGTTTTCATTCTACAAGTTATTTATGCTATGTTTTCGGAAAACAGTTCATTATGAATGAAATAATTAATGAATGAGTGAAATCAACGTTTAGCACCCCTGAATACACACAACAGTGAATCATCGGCCAGACGTTTAACACCCAAGGCAATCATGAGACAGCAGACCTGGTCAACCTCTAGGCTGTAGAGTGACTATGTCAATATATTATTCATACAGTTTTTTACGCTAATGAATAAAACGGAAAATACATGAATTACCAAATGCAAACTAATAATTACATTTGTAAAAGTTTCAAGTTATGATAATTATTATATTTTTAATCACGATAAAATAGTCAGAATACTAAGATAATTAGGTTATTGTACTTTTGCGGTATGTGCCATTAATGCTACTTTATCACGGACTATACTTCATTCTAAATTACCTAATGATTTGCATGAGCGTTATTTACACATACATGCTCTAAGAAAACTACAGTTATTCGTGTCAATGAAATCAATGTCTGCACAAATTATAAGCAATGAATATCTAAACATACAGAGTTTTTCATAATTTCTACACGCCAGTTAAACTAAAAGTATACTTCATAAAGTAAAAATTTTGAAATTACATTCTTTAATTAGTATGTGAATAATAATTTATCGCAAGTACACTAAATATATCAATTAAATTTTAACTGATATATTTTAATGTTGTAATAACAAAAAAAAAAAAATACGAATTGTAAAGAATTTTTAAAAAATTACCTAAATCGATTCAAACATATTCATCACTTAGACAAATTAAATTTTAATCTCCTGAGATTATTTAGGAATGCTAAAAAAATGGCGGTAGACAAAAGATAAATCTTCTATTCGAAAATAAAAAAAATTGCTACCTTCATATATTTCAATTTTGAGAAATTAAATGTTTTTATAGTTTGTATAATATACATAATGCATTGGTATTGCTCATTTCTCATATCAATATAAAACTATCAAGATATACATCTTTTTTATTTAAGATAACCACAATCTTAATTTTTATGTATAAATAAAATTAAAATTTATAGCAAATTTCAAATATTATAAGCATGTGTATGTACATTTCATTCAAATAAAATGAAATATGTATACATCATTTTTATGAATGTATATAACACAATAATTAAACAAATGTTTAAGTTTTCGATAAAAACAACAGAATCGGGTTACCGAAGTCAGTAGTTGTTAACTGACATACTAAAGACAATATCAAAGTTATTTTATGTACAAGATACACTGATTTCTTATTGGCATAAAAAAGAAAAATATCAAGTCGGAATTTCGCAGAATACGTAGGTTGACGGACAACGTAGGTATTCAATAAATGATAATAAAATATAAGTGCATCGGTGACTTCAGCAGCATTACTACTAAAAACAATCAACTCACTTAACCATACGGATTTAACAAGTATTACAGTACTTAATACGACTTGGTTCAATTAATTTGTCATTTTAATCTTTAACTCGAAAGTGTATAAACATAATACACTAATTTAATAAAAAAATTAAAAAAGAAAAAATTATTTAATTATGTGTTAGTACTTACAGAGACGTCCAAAGCTATGACTCAAACGTTTTTTAATTTTTTGCACTTTGCTGAGTGCACCACTTTTCTTTTCTCTCATGGTAACTCCTATAAAAGATAACAATTTAGATTAAAAATTTGACAATAAATTAGTGTAAAAAGCTATTTGTCGCATACAATTTTTTTTATTGTATTCTTATACGATCACAATAAATTTATTTACTTTCATTAAAATACACAAATGAAAATATTGAAACAAAAAGTTTAGTCCCTAACAAATTAACAGTAAGTAATTTTAGGTACAAGAGTTTATCGCATTCATATATTTTTCTCTGAACAAAATATTATTTGTAATCTTTATCATATCAAAATTAATTTTTCAAACTTGTTATTATGTATTATATCGGTATTCACCTGGTTAAGACTAACAATCAAATTATACAATTGTCAATTTGTTTAAATATTAACCAATATTTTTCATTGTATTAAAATGAATTAAATATAAATTATCAAGTATAAAAAAAATTAACTAAAATAGAGTACTATTTTATACTACACATTATTTTAGATTGACTTAAAATCAACACTAACTAGTATACCGTTACATAGAAAAATGTAAAAAAAAATGATTAGTATAAATTGTTATAATGAAAACATTTTTATTAAACTACAGAAATACTTCTACAAAACGGAACACAAAACTACCGTAAGACAACCAACCGCAGACGGGTCACGAGAACCACTAATCAAATCCAGTAGCAACTGACTAGCAAGTTAGCTCATTCCACCAGTGTCGCCGTTCACTAGAGTGCAATAATATCGTTCATACAATCACAATATAGACACGGCCAACAATATAATTCTATTACCATATCCATAGTGATCATTTATTAAGTCAAAAACTACAATTAAAATTGAATTTTAATAATGATATAAATAAAATTATAATTAATCAATTTGATATTTCAATATTTACTGCGATTATTAAACTGAAATTTTATACATAAATTATACGATTAAAAGGTATTATATTTTAATATTTGAATGTGGAAATATTGGTAAAAATGTGGAGAACAATTGAAAAGAAAAAGTTTTTGAAGTAAATCACTGTTTTTTGAACTAGTGATCAATTGTCCTTTAAGATTCACACATAATATATTAAAATATTCTATGCGTATTTCAAACTAATTTTTTAATTAATTGTTAGTATTGCAAAGCAATAATCATTTTTGTCGTAATTTATATTAAGTTTAGAAATGTATCATACTAAAATAAAACAAAATCGCTACTAAGTATTTTTTTTGCTTACAACCCAATAAAAACAGATATTAAACAAGTTTCTCTTAAGACATAAATCTGGATTTCGATCTTTCGTTAACCACGTTTGACATCGAAATCCTTATCAAAATCAAAAAGGGGACAAAGATAGGGGTCGTTTACTTACCACTCATTCTACATTATAACAGTCAATACCCAACACTCTGCCCACACTCGAAACAATATTCAACATCTGGCATACAAAGGGTCATTGCAACATTACTCGCACCCTCTTCCGCTTATTCTAAAGTGGTTGTAATTAATTGTAATAATTATTATGAGGGCCGGCGTGATCCAACAGCAACACACTCACACGACCGTTCTTGCACATTGAACAATACTAAACAATTTAGGTTGAACATATAGCTAAAACGTGGGTCCTAATCAAAATTCAAAAGACAACCTTATGCTTAGTATAAATCACTGTTTAACACAGTAGAAATGATATTTTGTTAAGAAAAATTTAATTTAACCTGTTTTTTTAGTATATTATACAAATTAACTTTTTAAATGAATTTGTTAAAAACCAATTTGGTTAAAATTTTTAATTTAAACTTTTTTAATTGTATTAACTCAATATATAACCAATAAAAAAAATTGTTTTGCAAGTTGTGAGACGATAGAATTATTCGTTTTTAAAAATTAATTCTTAATTTAAATTCAAGCCAATACCATTTCTCGTAATATAAAAACAGTCCAATATTCCCTCACAGGATCAATTTTCCCTCGAATGGAACCACACACAAGGGACTTCTAACGAAGAATTCACTCACTGTACAATATAAATTATTTAAAACTTTCGACAATGAAGCAAACTATTCAATCGCACAATAATGTTTAATTCCGATTGAAAACTTTTTTTCTTAACTAGTTATACTTATAGAAAACTTTTTCAGTATAGTCGATATTTATAGTTTTTACCTTGATGCCAAATACAATTTAACTAAAACACATACCCATTACATCACCGTTAGTACAGAGGGGACATCAAGGGAATGAGATTAAGTTACCTGGAAAATGTCTGACCAAATTATTGTCCATCCACAAATTGGTCTAGATTCAATTATAACTAGTTCAAAAACTGTTAGACAAATGACAACCCATATAAAATCATCCTTAACAACGTTTTATTTAAATTGAATTAATTCTGTTATACTTATTATTCTATTATAGAACACAACTTTGTTATATAAAATACATCAATTATAAATAAATATAAAATGTCACTATAAATAAATATAAATTACATCATACAGTACATTTATAATATCTGGAATAATAAAATTAAAATCGTTAAAATAAATTTACTTCTTACACGTTGAAATTTAATATATGGATTTAAGGTTATGACATTAAACTATTTATTTAAAAATAAAATATGAACAAACTGATTTCATATTAAACAAGATTCGCAACTAACAAAAAAATTAATGAGTGATACTCTGTAGTCCTAAAAGTTAAACCATTATCATCGACGAGTCGCGTAGTCCTTAAAATCGAATAGGGATAATAGTATAAAATTATTATTTAACTATTTATTTAAAATTAATATTTTATTTACAAGTTAAAATTGTAACATAAAATAATAATAAATTTAATTGTACTTTAAATTTTTTTATAAATTTACGTAATATAAATACAAATAAAAAAACACGTTCAATATTAAAATGTATGTCTAGAGATTCCAATATTTGATGATTTTACATTACAAGATAAAAGATATACACAATATTTAAATCATTTGGAATTTGATTAAATAGTATGTAAAAAAGTTTAAAACTTAAATTTATGAATTAAATTTGAAAAATTTTAATTTGTATACTAGGCAATAGTACAATCAATACTTATTCAATTAGATTATCCAAATTTTTTATCAATACAAGTGAATTATAACAATTAAGTCACAACCAAACTATGCATGAGTATGCGTCACCAGTTTATTAAATGTAGTTAAATGACGCAAACTGGTAATTTACTAATAAACGGCGCCCTGTTTTTGCAGAACCTAATTCAATTTCCTACTAATAAAGGAAACTACATGATGTGACATCATACTAATGTTGTGTAGTGAGTTTGATAATACTTAGTTATAAAAGGGAGGTTAGTTAAACTTGCTAAAATAATTTGCATAGACAAACTAACCACATAATTAAAATTCGAAATTAATTTGAAAGCATTTAATATCACACGCTTTTAAATGTTCTAGTTATAAATTCCACAAAATTATAAAAAAATTGTTTATGTGATGATTACTTAGAGACAGACTAAATAAAAAATAAAATGTCATCCTTATACATGCACGTAATTATTTTAGAATCATGGAAAATAGTATCATACTATTTGACCAAGGGTCAATTTGAATCGATATATAGCTGTTGTAAAAGGTATTTCATTCTGTAGTTATAACATAGCAATAAGGTAAGGAGTAAAGAAACAATATTCTATTTGAGAAAGCTCGATGAAAGGGGAGATTTCTAAGAGTAAAGAGGGCGCAATAAATTACTGTTCGCACCCTTGAGAGGCAATCGACCATAATGTATGCGTTTATCCTGAAACTCAGCAGGAGACTTTCAGACGTGTAATAATTATTTTTGAACGTAAATTATATACAGACATAAAAAACTTTTTATCTTACAAAATCTATAAAAAATGTTAACACTCTAGTTGAACTTCCGTGACATACCTTTAAATGAAACGTGTTCTAAAATTGAGAGGCTTCAAGAAAGCTTAAAACCTTTTAAATAGTACATGTAACCTGACACTGTTCTCGTAGAATGTAGTTATTAGCTAATTTAAATATCTATTTGATGCTCAAACGTAATTAGTGAACAAATAGAAATTCATGGAGTTTTTAATTACTATAAAAATTATTCATTAAATTTTAAAATCATTCTTTTAAAAATAATATACACAGAGTATACTAAATTTTTTTATTAAAATTTTAAAAGTCTTTCATAGGTAAACAAATTTTCCTATGGTTTATTACGTGTCACAATTTTAATGATAATTTCCTAAAGATGTCATTATTAATTATTCAAAAAATGTAAATTTCAAAAAGATTAAAATTATTAAAAAAATAAGAGTTAACAAGTTTAAAAAAGTATTTTTTTTCTAGATGTAAGTATTTTAACACTTTAATAAATGAAATGGACAATGGTGCAATCAGAGAGATAGTTAGGAAGTATAATTCCCTCAACACTGAAATGAGAGAATCTTGAATTTTAGCTGTGTATGACCTTTAATTATTATTAAACAATAATAAAATGTGAATAAATTTTGTACATACCAAAATCATTCTAAACAATTTTTCTTAAAAAAAAACCTTATATTAAATAATAAACCTTGGTAAATTTTTTTTCCTTAAATTAGACCACAAAATAAGAAATGTATTAGTTATTTTGCCTTTCTATTCAATAAATACTACACATAAAACTTTCTAATGAATTGGTAAAATAAACACAATGGCCAATAATGTAATCATTATTTTATAAATAAAATAAAATGTTTGATTAAATTTTTTCATATTGCTTAAAATATTACATATTTATTTTTTATTAAATGATTGCGAATGCAAACTATAAATAGAACTGACTTACAATTCACTATAAAAACCTAACATAAAAAAAGGTAACAAATAAATACCCATTAAATTATTTTAATGGTAATTAATTAAATTGAATTGGGAACCCAATTATATTATAAAATATAATGTTCTATGAATGTTTCATCTACTCAAATTACAATCATAATTTACAATAATATTAACACAAGGTATGTCAAAAATTTAATAGCTTGAATCTATAATAACTATTATTATATATATTTATATGTATATAAAATGAAGGATAAATACCTCCAGTTATGATTAAAATAGTTTTAATACTAAAACTTAAAAAAATTAATTCATAATATACTGAAACATTATAAATTAAATTGATAATTTTAAAATAATAAAAATATTTAATTGTTTGCAACAAAATATTGTGAAATCTCTAAGATAAAAAAACATTTTAATAAAATAAAAGTATAATGTTAGCTTTTTCATAAATACATACTTGCGCATTTTCCATTTGTTATATTACAAAGATGAAACATTAATGATAATAAATACAAGGGTAAAGTTATATTAAAATTTATTTGTTCACTCCTTCATTAATATATATATATATATATACTAGCTACAATTTTTGGTCAGTAATTCTTTGATTGATTTTTAAAAAAATAGATTATAAATTTTATACAACTGAATATTCCCTAAATTTATTATGGTAAGTAACAACCTAGCACAATAGAACAATAAGTAAAAATAAACAAGAATAATCGTTTAATGAATTAAATATTTGTAAATAATTAATTGGCTTTGAGCCCAACATATAAATGTTAACACAAAAATAATATAGTCTTAACCCACATACAATTCTTATCAATTCATTAAATTAGTAATTTTTCTAAAAATGTTATGTGACAATATTAATATTATCCTTAAATTTCCTTTAAAACTAAAAAATAACAATTTATTAAATCATATCAAACTTACCATCTTTCAATTTGGACGAAGAATTGTTGCAATTTGGCTGGCAATACATTTTGTGTCATTTGTATATTATCACAATTACTTTACATTTAGTTTCAAACTTATTCCTATATTCTAAGTTATTCCTAATTACTCACATGAAAATAATAAAATCTAAATCTTACAAACTAAGAAATGTTAAACTTTTTTTTTACCCGTTCATAGCATGAACTGAGAACGGACATGTTATCTCAGTTTTTGTTTTTCGTAACTTCGTTTATCCTTTATCTGCGTGGGTGACCGACTGTTTTGCAGGCTCTAGCAGTGTGACTAAAACGTAATTTTATAATTCCCCTGTGGTTTTTATCTTTGAATATAAGTTATAATGAATTTTCAAGCGCAATATATTTTTATTTATATGACCATACTGTATGCAATTCAAAACTTATTTTTAAAATTGAAATTAAAAATTAAAAAACTGTATTTTATGGGAATGGAAAGTAGTGTCAAATTTAGTTACAGTACTGTTGTCAACACTGAATTGCATAAAATGTGCAGCTGTTATTAAAAAACATTATACCTACATTTCATAGAAAAACTTAACAATATTAAATATGATATGAAACAATGATAACATTATAAGATTTTAAATTAAAATAGATTTTTCCCTAGTACTTACTAGTGTTTTGAATAACTACTGAATTGCAAAATTATGTATAATGGCATCAAAGTTTCAATTGCCAAAAACTCAGTAAATTATGTTTATCCCTTCCAGAACTTACTCTTAAATAATTTTTTATTAGTTTAACGTAGAAAAAGATCATCCAGAACAATGGAATTATGGACAATGTTAAAGTATAAATAGAGTAACATTTATAATTGGAAAAACTGATCTTAATTATTACAGTGTAAAAGTATTGATAACTTAGTCCTGAACAACTTCATTATTATCGATGGTCTAAAAAAAATGTACAATAATTAATTCCATTTATTTCAGTGTAATATATGAAAGAAAAACTAGACGTTAAAAATGATTTTTTGCTCTTAAAAAATTGCCACCTTAATCAATAGTTTGATGTGAAATCTAAAATGACTTATAATTTTTACATTGGTAAAAATAATTGTGAATAGAATAAAATTGTAGAAAATAATTAAGAATTTCTATCATAAATTTAAGAATAGCTTGGTATACCAACAATGTAAATTTACACATATAAATTAATTCTAAACTAATTTTTTTTTATATATGATTCCTTATATGGAAAATTTGTAAAAAAAAAATCTAGTATTTTTAATCTAAAATACAATTATGTAATAAGTTTTTATAAATTTAGTTAATTATATAAAATAAAAAACAATTAAATTAACAAACTTTGTTTCAAACCAATAGTTTTACACTATATACCTAATCTAATTGAATATATTTAAAAAATAATACAGTTTTTGTTATTAGTGGGAAGTTATATTTTGAATAATTATAGATGCAATACAAAATTTCGGTGATTTTTATACCATATACTTAAAATATTCAAAATTAAAATAAAATAATAAAATGCTTAAATTAGAATATAATTACACTGATTAACATAAATTCATATTTAAGATGAATTTGTTTCTATAATTTATCATTAACATGATGACAAATTGTATTTCAAAATTGTTTTTTAAAATATTTTTGAAATGAAAAAATATTAATTTGGATTTAGATAACACTGATCAATAAAAAATGTTGTTTTGTTAATCTGTGTTATCATTCATACTCAAATATTTATTACTTTTAACTGAACCAATGTTTCAAGAAAAAAAAAATGTTTAATAATAGTTATTTTCTGTATTTAAAATAACCAATAGTTTAATCTCAATAAAATTTAAAAATAGTATTGTAACTGCAAGTGAAGATACAGTGCACTAAGAAAACTTACAGCAAGCTTGACACTATCGAACCTTTTAAAAGCAAAACTTTAGAGGTGCAGAAAATGTACAATTTCATATAGAATAATTAAATACCTTATGATAAATTATTATTTTTATATTAACTTTAAGAGCAAAAATTGGATCAAATTTTTTACAAAAGATTTCTATGGACACCATTTGTACATAGAATACTTAATAATTTATATCTAAGCACTATTTACACTATTTGTATATATTGTATATACACAATTACCACCGTAAACAGAATTTTCCAAATTTATATTAAAGTAATAGATGAACAATGCAATAATTAAAAGTTAAATATCCTTTATTAACAAATTCATCAATAGAGATTGATACAAAAAATTTAAATTTTTAAAGAGACTTGAAAACTGATGATAGGTTGAAGAGTTGCTCTGTAATTTAGAATAGGTAATGTTCATCATTATTTTCTAGCATATAACTTATTAATTTAAATAAATAAAAGTACACAGATTTAAATAATTATGTATTTTAATTTGGTGACCTACTTAGCTTAGTCGGGAAAAAGTCATTCCTCAATATGTAAGAGTTCAATTTTGTTATAATAGGTTATGTAGTTGGTCACATCCTTTCTAAAACAAGGATAGCTTTTTAAAGAGAGCATTAAAGTTAAATAGAGAAATAGTAATAACAATTAGAATTTATGATATTAGTGATAAATTATTTATAATATTGAAATGTTATAATGAATATATTACCAAAAATCTTATAACCAATGGTGACACTGAAAATTTGAGTCTGGTAGTAAGTTTAATATTTCATCAAAAAACTTTTCAATTTTTGTAAAAATAGATAATTATTATTAAAGTACACCAATTCATTAAAAAAAAGTTGTTGAAAATATTTTTCTAGATGTAATTTATATTTTAGATTTAATTTTTCATACACAAAGAATACCTGCAAAACCGTTATTTTAAAGTCCGTCATAATCTCCATCACTCCCCACTATACCCAATATATGGTGGTGTGCCTGAAGGTAGCAATATTGCGCCATTCTTGTACACAATATATACATCTGATCTACCTTTATCGGATACAACAGTACTTGGTACCTATGCTGATGTCAGGGCCTTCATATTATCTTCATTAGATCATAAAGTTGACTGGCAACAGTTACAAATATATCTAAATATGCTTTCGCTCTGGTTCAAGACCTAGCGAGTCAAAATAAATGAGTCGAAATCTTCTTTCATTACATTCACTCTTAGAAATCATGACTGCCCATCAGTTACTATTAATAACATTATTATTCCTCACTCAACCGAGGTTAAATATCTAGGGTTAATTCTTGACCGAAGGTTAACCTGGGGTCCTCATTTAAAAGAGAAAAGGAAAAAACTGAACTCGAGACTTCATTTACTAAGACCTTTACTTAAGTCAAATATTTCTTTGTCAAATAAAATTATATTGTACAAAACATTACTCCAACCATAGTGGTTGGACAATCAGAGATCTATTGTCTTTATAAATGATTTAATCTTGTTAATGTTACGTAATTAAAACTCCTAATTATTGTACAAACTACTATACCATTATATATTATTATTGTTAATATTATGTAATTAAATTAAATATAAATGTTCAATAGCAGACGGACTCCAATGGGAGCGACCTCACAGGCTACTAATGTTAAGTATTTTATATATGTATATTTTCTAAACTATTTACTTATTGTAAATTTTTTTTTTTTACAGATTGTAAATTTCATAAATAAAAGAAAAAAAAAGATTTAATTTTCATAATATTTTCAATGATTACATTATATCTGATACATTATTGACAAAACAACATAAAAATTGCCAATAATTATTCAAATGGATATCATTGTTGAACTGTACAAGGAAAATAAAGACTATGTAAAACAAAGAAGGTTTATACTGTTTGAATAGCTATTAAAACTAAAATTAACCTACTTTCTAGGTATTACTGGTAACTTGTATTATTATGAATTATCCAAACAGCTCCTTTTACAAATAAAATGTTTTTTTTATAAAATATCTTTGATTGTACATTTATTAATTGTCTACTACACTGATAAATTTAAGAAAAATGTAGTTTTTTGATTTTGTGAAATTTATAGTAGAAGTTCCCAAAATTATTGTTCATAAAATCATGTGTTATGCACTGTTATAATTTTATGAAAATTTATTTATATTTTACCTTTGTCAAGACTATGGATCTGATATAATTTTATTTAAAGATATATATTACATTAGAATAAAAACAAAACGGCAAAACAATATTTGTTTAATTGATGAGAAATTTCTTAAAGATAACCTGTTCACAGTATAAATATTAAGAATAATGGTATTCTATTTAAAAATTTAGCGTCCAGGCTTTCTATAAGTACTAACACTTTTATTTTAATAAAATATCATGAGAACGATTTATGCCCAAAAAAAATGCCTATTTAAAAAATTCTCTACAATTAACTGCATTTTATTCAAATGGATTTTTTATGTTTAATTTATTTTATTTCAACTATAGTATACTAAGTAAACAAGTGATTTTAGAAATTTTAATATTCATATTCACTTATTACTACAAATATTTGATTACATTTTTTTATGGTATTTTCTAGGTACTTATATTAATAGACTAAACACTGTTTACCTCCAAAATAACACTTGTTAATATTTAATAAGAATTTTTTTACAGTATAAAAAAAATAAAAAGTATTGATTAATCAAAGCTTTGATATAAATGAAAAATATTATTTTTTAAAAGTACACTATACTATGATATATTTTTAACCTTAAATAACACTTATTTTATTAGTAAGATATAATGACAAAAGATATTTTATCTTAATTATATTATTTATATACTTCTATAGAAAGTAAAAACATCACTTATTATATATTATTTATGTAGGCCGTCCCAAAGCTAAAAATATGGCGTGGCAAAAAATTAATTTTTGCCAATTGAATAATTATTTAAAATGGTGCCTCATTTTTTCAATAAATATTTTTGGTAGCTTCCTCTTATTTTAAAATATTACTGACTGAAGCAATTAAATTTTGTCAAGTGACGGGTGTGACATGCCTTTTTAGGATGACTCATGATTATTAATATGTACAGTTTACATGTAGGATAGTAATTTTTAGTATATACTGTCCATTCACTGAAAGTCTTGCTATTGACCAATTATTAGCAAGAGATACTACATTAAAAGTTTAATAATTATAAAAATAAGAGCAAAAACATTAGTTATAAATTGGTAAAGTTAAAAAAAACCATTTTCTAATTTTTACTCAAAAATTTTTATTTTTATAAAACATTGCTTTAAATGTTTTATAGACTAATAATATTGATTTAAATCATATATAATATATAACTATGTAATTTTATGATCATAATGTTTTCATTACAAAAGTCTTTTACAAGTTAGTTAATAATTAAATGAAAAAATCATCATTCTAAAACAAAATTATGATATTTACATTTATAAATACTGTGCGATATGGTTTCAACCTTAAGGTTTGTAATTATGATTTGACTATCAAAATATTAGATTAAGAACTACATTTTTAGAATACTTAATTGTTAAAAAATAAATAACTTATATATTTTACAAGTTTTATTATTTTTTTTAAATTTAACCTGTCAAAAATTTATTTACAAATAGTTCAAGTGATATGAGTGTACAATATATAAAGTATTTCACATATTGGCTAATATTATTAACATTTTCATGTTATTCTTCAAAATAATTAACAGCAAAAAAACAAAATCTGTTTCTTTTAGTAACTAAAATGTAGGATATGTTAAAAAAAATCCTTAAAATTAAAAATTATTTTTGATTAAAAAAGAAGGAACATACTTCTTACAAAGTTATCAACAAAAAATATTTTAATTGAATAATAAAATGTTATACATATATTTAAATTAAATTTTTTATAAAATATAAATCTAGTACAAAATGGCATTTGATTAAATTATCTATTTGTAAATATCATCAATGAGTTTTTGATATTCTTCTTGGTTCATATCATCATGTCGTCCGCTACGTCGTTTTCTAGAAAACATGGCGCCTGAATGAGGAGTAATTTCCACACATAAAATAACAAAAAAATTTCTGCAGTCATATATTGATTGATCTAATAGCTTGGGTTGTAAACTCATTCGAGGGACTAATGAAGAACCAAAACCTTGTTTGTCAATGCTCTCAGAGTTCCAAGAGTCGCAATTATTGTCTGAGGCATCATTACCAGAAGTAGTAGATCCATGCCATATAACTTTCTGAGGCCTTAAATAATTTAAAATTTAATTCATTTAATGAAATTTTTTTAATTACAAAGTTTTCATTTAAAATTAGATTTTATTGCTATTATGATATATGACAGAATAAATATATTTTTTGAACACATATAAACATAACATCATATTTTTTAAAACGTATGTTAAAAATACTCAAAAATTGTGATTCCGAATACTACAGAAGTAATATTTAAGAACATTTTTTAAAAAGTAAGTTATAATAAATATAAACAGTGAAACGTACAATTTTTTTCTAATATTTATGAAAAATATTTAAAATACAATTTTCAAAAAAAAGTATTTAAAAATATTTGAAAAATTAAAAAAGTATTTGAATAATTAATATGTGTGGTATTCAAAATATTTATATGAAGGAACCTTATTCAAGCAGTCTCTTACCATTTAAAAGGATTGTATGGAGTAGATAATAACCTACATAGTTAATGTCAGAAAGGGAAGTAAAATAAACTATTTAGAGCAGAAATAGGAAATTAGTTTTTAAAATAAATAGGATAGTTTCAACAAAAAAAATCTCACCGCCAGAAAAAAAAAATAGTCAATAAACTCATTATAATATTTATTTTATGAGCTATACATGGTGAAACAGACCCATCTACAACTTTTCATATTTTTCCAATTATCATTTTATTGTAATAATTTTTTTTATAATTTTTGCATTCTCAGATTACGATACAAGTATATTTCTTTTTAATTATTTTTAATAATAATAAAAATAAATAATTTGCTTCAAAAGTTGTTATTAACCACCAGTCATATTTTTAATCAAATGATTTTCTATAATGTGAGCCAGATAAATATGCAGTGTTTCAGATCTAACATATAACACTTAAAACTTTTGATACAAGTATAATTTCATTAAAATTTGTTTAATTAATATTGCCTTTTTAAACTATGCTTAAACTATATTTTTATTAATTATTTTTAATACTAATAAAATAAACATATCATTTTTTTTTAATTAAAATTTTTTGAAAATTTTAAAATAAACCACTTTTTCGAGTTTTTTTTACAAAAAATGTTGATAGGTCGATAAAAACTAAATAAGTACTTAAGGTATAAACATTTTAATAAATGTAGGTAATGCAGGTAGTACAACTTGTACTGGTGCATATTCATAACACGTATTCTACCTATGCTACATAGACATCTATGTAATAAAATACTTGTAAAAATAAGTACTTATCCTAAAATTTTTATCGACCTATCAAAATATTTTGTTAAAAAAAGCTCTAAAAATTGGCCAACTTGAAAAAAATATTTTTTAATTTTTTTTATTATTAAAAATAAATAATAAATACTATTCTTTTAAAATAGACAACTAAAAAAGCAAAACTTATTTTAAAAAAATTTACAGTGAAATTTTAATTATAATAATACTTAAAAGATTTGTCATTTAGCTCTGTTTCACCCATGTATATATATATATATTTTTTAATAAAAATTAACATAAAAGTATAGTGTTAATAGCGGGGCATAAATGTTTAATCAGTGGGCTTTTTGCCCACTTCTGATTTAGAAATATTTTCAAAAAATTACGTTCAACAGAATTGATAGTTATAAAATTTAAAATGAACTTTACCAAAAATTGGACTTAAAAATTTTCAATTTATATTTTAATATCATCCATAATTTTATGAAAAGTAAAGTTATCATAAACAATCTCTATTTATTATAATGAACAGGAACTGTTTTCAATCTAACATTGTTATGCTATTTAAAAAAAATTACAATTTTGAAAAACAGAACTTTTTTAAATTGTTTTACAAAAGGATTTATTACTGAAACTTAGTGCAATTTATTTACAATTCTATATCTTTATAAATTATGATTATAAGTTGACTTACCAAGAAAAGTCAGTTAAAACGTTTTTACCATTAAAACTGTAAATTTTAGGTTGATGTGATAAAAATTCACCATTTTCTGTAAATACGTCTTTCCAAGAGTTGAAGAGTACGTCTCCTTTAATATTTACCAACGGTAAATCTCTATCAGATTCATGTACTATCGTTTTAAGATTATTATTTCGTGATGAAAGAAATGCTTTGAATGCTCCATGAAGACCAGCCCTTCTGGATTGTCGATAACATGAATAATCGACACTTTGAACTCCATGCATGTTGCCAGAATATGGTTCATTTAAAGCTGCTACTCTCAACTATTGAAAAGAAGTATTTTAATCAAAAGAACTGTACCAATTATTCTAGTGTAATATGACATTTTAATATTCATACATAGTCTTCCCTCTCAAAAATTTTTGACATATTGTGTTAATTTGCAAATGTCTCAATGACCACAATCTCAATAGAGAAATTAAAAACTATTATCAAATTTAAACTTAATGTCCTTATTTTATTTAGAAAAGTAGTATTGAAATAAATCTTATTGAAGTTACAAATTAAATATAAATAAACACTTACCATTTTAGGATGCCACTGAAAAAAAAAAACAGAATTTTTCATTTTAACAATAAATAAATTATTTATAAAACATTATAAGGTGTCCATAGGAGGAGTTAGAAAAAAAATTGGAATTATTTTATAATAAAATATATAATATTCTAAACTTTTAAAGGAGTATTCAACCCCAGAACTCCACCTTAGCTCTGTCTATGAATTTATTATTTTATCAAATCTCACCACTGGATTTTCTTTAACTGGATGACTATGAACTAAATTTGATGACTCTAAAGGTGCACGAGTTGGCAATGGTATATTAGTTGGAATAGTTTCAGCTCCTGTAATTAAAGACCCTAACTACAAACAAAATTTTATAATTCAGTATAAAATAAAATCTTTTAAATTATTTTGTGTTTCATACAGAAATATACTGCCAACCAAGTGAAACTCGGACTAATAATGCTTCTTCCTCAATTATAAAAGCAATGGTTCCTACTTGAGTTCTTTCAGTTGTCTAAACAAAAAAAATAATTTAAATCTTATACAATTGTAAATATTTTTATAAAATTTGATTCTTTTTATTAACATTATTTTTCTTAATTACTTAAATTTTGTTATGAAACATAAAATTTTGATGGGTGAATAAAAATTTTAAGACGAGTACTCATTACGTTACAATAATTTTAATACATAGATTATGTATGTATCCCTTATACAGATTTTACTGTTGCATATTTATAATGTAAACTTCATAGATACTTCATGTATTTAAATGCTTGTAACTTATTAAGTACTTACCCTAAAATTGTTATCGACTCATCAAAATTTTTTTGAAGAAAAGCTCTAAAGAATATGTAGAAAAAAATTTATTTTATTTATTCTTATTAGTAACAAATAATACAAAATATGCTTTAAACATAGTCTAAGAAGGCAACAATTACTTTTAAAAAGTAATGACTCTTGTTAATTATATTGCATAGAATTTATTACACAACAATGCCTTAATAAATAACAGTTTTTAAGATATAAGACTTAACTCTTATAAAATTTAGTACATTTAAATATGTTATATAAAAATTTGCTTCTTCTTAAATTTTATTAATTTCTATATATAACATTTTTTATTTATTAAATTGAACATTTTGGTTTTAAAATTTCGAAACTTACACTCAACAATAATTTCTTATTTTGAAATGTAACTGCGCCGGGTACAATAATAGGATCAACAATTTGACCTAAATAAAATGAATAAAATTAAAGCTAATACTCGAAATATGAATATTTTATAATATAAAATTACTTCTTAAGGGAGATGTAATAAAACTTGGATCTCCTGGTTCACCTTTTTGTCCTTCAATTGACACACCCGGTGGGCCCTAAATTTCAACATTACATATTGTCAAATCAAATTTTTATTCATTTTTTTCATAAATTTTAAAACAAACCGGAGGCCCCGGTGGTCCAGGAACTGGAATGTAAGATCCACTAGAGCTTCCGTCTGCTGGTCTACCAGGTTCACCCTTTTCTCCTTTCTGTAATAAAATATTGATATATTCTATTAGACTAACTATTTTTAAAAATATAAAATAAAAATCAAAACTATTATAAATAATTTTGTTTATATAGTAAAAATGTTATCTATTTTAAAATAATTGGCATCATTAAACAAGCCATAATTTTCAAAGTGGAATCTTATAATAAGATAAGGTTAAGATATCAATTTCAATATACAAATTGTAGTATAAATGAGTAATTTCTAAAGTTATGTAAAATAAGTCTCGTGACGAAAACTGCTGTTTAAGTAACCAGGCGATGACTATACAAATCGATATAAAAATATCATTTTTTAAATGTTTTTCATTTATTTTAAAGATACAGTAACATAGCCTGTAATAATTTACGAAGTATGCGTTAGATTAATCACATCAACAGAAGTCTTACATACTGGTTTTTTATTTTTTTTTTTTACTTAGTCTAATTCTGTGAATCAATAAAAATATTATTTATCATATTGATGAATAATACTTTAAATAAGTTTATTCACATCCGTATCAGATAACATAAAAGCCGTAAAATATCTATTTATATAATTTTTGACTTAGAAGTAATATAAATTATTGACAATGCATAATACATGCTTAGATCTTCTAAGTACATAATATTCATTAGCCATAATAGTTAATGTTACAAATCGGGTTCAAAAATGATATCACTATTTTAACCTATATAGTTACCACCACGAAACTTATTTTAAATAAATTAGAAATTACTCAATTATATTACCATTTATAATTTTGAAATTTAATATAACTAAAATTATTGGAATAGAAATTTTAAACCTTATTTTTATAAGGCTTTAAGGTTTCGGTTGTTAAGGGTTTCGTGAATTTTTATTCCGGTAGCGTTTGGTTTTTGTTCATTTTTTAAGGGTTCTGGTTTTAAATTGATATTTTTCAGTTCGGTTCTAATACCTTATCTTAGATTTATTCTAGTTAAAAATAGTATTATTTTTTATTTATATATCTTTAATTATGTAAAACATATAAATAATAGTTATGTTTCTAAAAATAATTTAGGTACAAATGAAATTTGTATTAATTAATAATTATACTTACAATAGATAAGCCGGGATCTCCTTTCTCTCCTTTTGTTCCACCTGCTCTACCAGGTAAGCCCTTAAAGAAAATAATTTATAATAATTATTATTTATTTTAATTCTACCTTAAGTTTATATTTATAATTTTTTTTCAATTGTAAATCAAAATATTGGTTTGGGACCAACCATTATCAGTTGAATTAATTTTTAAAAAGAAAAGAGTTAAGTACAGTCCGCAGAAAAAAGATACAGTCATATTTTATTATTAAAATATTTTATATAAAATATGATATTTTCAACGTTTTATTGATTAAAAAATATACATTTAATACTCTTTTACTACAATAACATAATTTAGATAAAATAAAAAATGTTATTTTGTAACGTTTAATTTATTATTGGAATACTTTTTAAATATTTTCCTATAGCTATACATATTACTCCTTGAAAATTTAAATTTAATTAAATCTAACATACGTAAAAAAGGACTAGATATCGGTAGAAATTATTTGTTGTATGAGTTTAATGTGACGAAAAATTGACAATTCTCTTCAAGACGCTTTTGATCTTAGCGTGGTGCTAATATTTTCTAGGATAACACTAAATTTATATGTGTAATAATATATGTAAATGATTGTCTGTATTGAAATATACTCGTACGTAATTTTTTAATCATATGTATAAAAAATTTGTATTTTTTTTAAATTATTTAAAAATAGACTTACTTCTTCCTATGTTGGTGAATGATTAAAAAGAAAACGTATTAATAGATAACACACATTAAAAATAATAATTTAAAATTTTCACTTACACTTAATCCAGGAAGTCCAATTTCTCCAGGAGGACCTGGTGGACCTACAGGACCTGTAATGAGAAAATTGATACAATAAGAAACATTTTAAATTATACCCAATGTAAACAAAGTTATAGTTAAAATTTAGTAAGTCTTTCCTACTAATTACCTGGTTTTCCTCGCCTTCCTCTTTTTCCCATTTCACCTAATAAAATGTTAAAGTTACGAATCGTTAATAAGCTTTAGTACTAAACAAATTATAAAAAAAGCTTTATAACTATTAGTAAAGAGTAAGTATCTCAAACTTGTTTCAAGTGTATATAAACTAAAGACGTTTATCTACAGTTTATTTTTAAATATACACTTGAAATGATAAAACACAAATATAAAAAAAAATATATTATGAAAAAAAAAAAATTCAATTTACAATAACAAATTATTTTTAATATTTGTTTAAAATTAAAATCACTTTAAATTTCAAATTATATTCATTACCTTTTTCACCTTTTACATTAGTTAGATCAGCCATAGACACACCCGGAAGCCCCGGCTCTCCTCGGTCTCCTTTGGGGCCCGTTAAACCAGGTGGGCCCTATAATAATCAAATTTAGTTTATGAGTGTAGGTTTTTACCTAAAAGCTCAATAAAATATTATGTTTATACTCACTGGATTTCCACTTGGGCCTAAGGCACCTAGAATTCCCCTTTCTCCTCTATCTCCTTTTGCTCCTTTATCGCCTTTCACTGTTTTTACAACAGCTGAATCGCTCACTGAAACATTATTTATTGAAAATAATAAACAAAATTTAAGATTATCCCATTTCGATTATTGTACTCTATATCTAGCTGAACATTTAAAAGTTTCTTTTATGAAATATTTTCCTAGTAAACCTCGTGTAAAAAGTATTTTTTTAAATCTACCCATTTAACAATTTCTATATGAACATTTTATACTGTTTTTGCTTAAAAAATAGATTTTTAACACGTATGTGTTTTATGATTCATATGAATTGTGTAAAACTTATTATTTAAGAAAATAATCTTACATTTTTCTAATTTTACGCCTGGCGGACTATGTCCAGGTGGACCAGGTGGTCCAATATCACCTATAATAGCAACAAAAGAATATATTACACATTAGTAGTCATAATACTCTTACAAATATTTTATATTATTGAAAAAGTCAAACAAATATATTGTATAAAACCATAATTACAGATAAAAAATGTGTTACTTAAATATGGTAATTTGATGATACCTTTTTCTCCTTTTGGCGCTGGTCGTGCATTTTCTCCTGGTAAACCTGGTGTTCCATCAAAACCCCGCATCCCTCTATCACCTATAATTTAAAAAGATCAATAAGCTTATTTTTTAAATAGATGAATAAATATATATTTATAAATTTTGATTAAAATCAAATTTTATCTTTATTTAATTAAAAAGAAAAAAATTAATTTTAATGTGTAAAATATGAATGCATAAAGGACTTCCTACCAGTTTTGACATCTTTAATAACTTTTAATCCAGTAAATATTTTGCATTATTTTTATATTTTTATAATATTCACAATTTTGAACTACGTTAAAACCATATTTTTTATTGATATTTTTAATTGTTATATTTTTTAAATTTCAAAATAGCTATTTTATATGCCTTTTTTTAAAAAACATTTTAATGGGTCGATAACAATTTTAAGACGAGTATTTGAAAGATTGAGCGCAACAGTGGCCTAACCTTCAAAATATTTAGAATTGTTGATGAAATAATATTGTTTAAAATAAAAAATATTTTAATGCGACAAGGGCCTATTTTCGGTTTTTTAATTTTACACTAGATAGCAACACTATTTATGTTGTTGGATTAATAAATTGTATATACTTGTAAGAATTTAAAAAAATATATTACACACATTAACTGTTTGGTGGCATAGGCCACTATTGCACTCAACCCCTCATTTATGAAATTACTAGAATTTTAATACATAAAAAGGGTGTGTAGTAAGGGCAAGTGCACTTACACTGGTGTACGTGTACTTTGCCCTAATTCCATACCTACTCTATGTATTGAACGTTTGTACGGAATGTGGATTTAAACTGATCACTACTAATTACCTCTAAGCTAGTCACACAAAAGATGAAAATCATTTCCAGTATATTTTGCAAGTATTAAAAAAACGTACAAAATATGTGCCCTACTAATAAAATAATCTGTTATTTAACATGCATATGGTAGCAAGTCTTCTTAAAATATTTGTAATAATACTTATGACATTTGTTTATAATAATATTCTATTTATACTAAGTAACATTTAAACATGATTGTATTATAATATTTACATTTTTTACCAAATTTAATATTCTATCCAAATTACACGGTGTATTAAACTTTAATACTTTAAACTATTAAACTTTAACCAAACCTCTAATCATTAGAGGATATCTCGTGGAATGATGGACTGGTAGATTTAATTAATGAGAAAGAGGTATGGGAGACTGTGGCAATAATGAAAAATAATAAAGCACTATAACCAGATGAAGTGATAGTAGAAGTATGAAAAATATTAGGCGGTGTTGGTATAAAGTGGTTGAAAAATTTTTAAATAAAATCTTATTAGAAGGGAAAATTCCATTTGAATGGAAGAATAGTATGTGGTGCCGATATTTAAAGGTAAAGGTGACATACAGGAGTGTGAAAATTATAGGGGCATAAAGTTTATGAGTCATAATATGAAAATTTGAGAAAAGGTAATAGATAAGGGAAAATTAAAAATAATTACATATATAATCTTAAAAGATATGTATGTTACAATAAAAAAAGGTAAAGTTGAAAACTTTATAAGGAATAAATATAGCGGCGGATCCAGAATTTTTTTGAAGAGGATTTTGTGCTCTCTTCAATTTTTTAAACAATAAGATCAATTTTTGACTTATTTTTCATTCAAATCATTTTTTTTTTTAATAGAAGACAATAGCCCAAGGAAAGAGTAAGAGCCCCTTGAGTCTTCCCCTTGGATTCGACACTGCGTAAATTTATAATAAATGTATGCAGAGACATATTTAAAGTTTTGACGTCTCTGGTAAAGTTTTATTGCCGCCCCTACTTATTCCTCTCCAAAATTATTTTTTATCATACCCCACCATTATTATACATGAATTTTATGCGATCCAGTTTTGATAATATTATCATGAAAAATAAAAATTGCACTGTAGCCGCTATACAAAATCTTAAAATATATGTTTTTTATCGATGAATGAAAATGGATGATGGATTATAGTTAAAAAAATATACTGTCACCCCTTAATTCCAAAAGAATTGTCACCTGGATGATAGTACCCCCTAACCACCCAAAAAGCGTCCCTGAGTTTATGTTCAAGTTTATACAAAATCAAGTTCATTAACTAAAAATTGTCCGCTATTCAATATAGTTCATATAATATGAATACATTCCCATTGATTGTTGGATCAAAAGTTATAAGTTATAACTGTGGAACAGTTTTAACATACATGTTAGATGTGTTCCACTCTGTATATATGTGTTATTTATTATGATTGTCACAAAACAAATGTATTATTATTTTGCTTACCTTTTAAGCCTTGAAGACCCGTAGAGCCTGTACTTCCCTATAAAATTTAATAAAATCATAAAAATAATAAAACTATCCATTATAGCATATATTAGAACACCTTATTATATCACTATTATCAACTATTATTATTAACAACGGCGATTTTAAATTCAAAAATAACATTTTTTGTTTAACCTCAGCAGCCATTTGCACATAATAGATAAGATGTGAAAGACATTTTTTTTTTATTATAGTAGTACATTTCAAGAGCTTTATTATGATAGAGGTTAAAAGTTGTCAGTCCTTTCGTAGCCTTTTCAAAAACCTAGTTCTAAAAATTTGTTTTACATGTGTGGAAGGATTTATCAAACTCTTTCTGCACTTTTTTTCATCAAATTTTTACAAAAAGCATACCAAAGCTTATTGTTTCTTTAATATTTTACTAAAATTTCATTATTTTTGGTAATGACAGGTTCAACTAAAATTGCATTCTTTTGACATATTTATCATTAAAATCCATTTTGTAAGAGTTGACAATTTTTATGGACAGAAAAAAAGCGTATATCGCGATAAAACCAATACCTTCTCAGCATAGAACTGAAACCAAAAATAACGGGTTTTCCTAAAAACGAGAGAGTTAAATATACTGGGAGGCACAATTCTTAAATGTGGGTCAGATTCAGTTTTGTAAAGTATTTGAGTAAATATATTTAAATACTAATAAAGTATTTGGAATATTTTTTATTTCAAATATTTGTGATGTATTTTAAGTAGTTATATACTTGTATCTGTATTTGAAAAAAATAAATAACTTATTAAATGTTAAATATTAGCATGCAGTGATAATTTTTTTGATGGTATCACAAAACTTAGTTAAAATCTATAAAATTAAAAAAAAAAAATGTTGTTTAACTTTTCTTAAGGGATAAAGAGAATTTAAGTATATAAAAATCAAACAATATCAAGTTTAAAGATTTTTACCTTATCTCCTTTTGTCCCTTTTAAACCTGATTCACCTCTAGCTCCTTTGCTTCCTTGTACACCTTTTAAACCTGTTAGAATTTGTTATAATTTATTATTAGTTTTATTTTTAATAACATGAAATTAATAACAGTTGTTATGAATTATTTTTGTAATTTTACTATTTTGAAAACTTTTCTTTAAACTTAATTCTAAATTTTTTTTAATTGAAAAAAAAAACTACCAAAGACTTTATACAAATGAGTACATATCAGTGACACGAGAGCGATAATGTTAAAATCCTTGTCGTTTTGTATACTACAACCAAAAGGACATCAATATCTTATAGAAATTTTATCTTATATGTGAGTCAATTTATTTTATTGAATGAGAAAATTTATATTTAACAAGCTTATAATAAAGAAAATTAACATATCTATAAAACATAGGGATGAATATAAAAAATATTTTATAACAGATAAATGGAGATACAAATGCCATAAAATAATTCATAAAAAATTATTAATTTAAGAAAAATTAAATGGCTAGTGTTAAAAGAATCATTCATATGACTTAAGACATTTCATAAAAATAATACTATTGTTAAATAGAATAAATCTACGATCAGAAATCGATTCAAAAATGGAACCCATAAAAACCGAAACTATATTTAAAATAAGTTCCTTGTTTAGTCATGACTTAAACGACATATTTCGTCACGAGACTTATTTTAAATAACTTTAAAAATCATTAATTTTTACTACCTTTAAGGCCAGGTGCACCATCAACTCCTGGATCTCCTTTTGGTCCGGGTGGACCAGGTCTTCCCACATTTGATTCAAATCCAATATCCTAATACGTAACATTTTATAACTTCATTATATGTCTTATGCCAAAATTACTCATAAATATATTAATTTAATTAAAGAACAAAATCGTTCTTTAATTAAATTTTATGTTACATTAAATAAAACAGATGTCAGGCTAAAGTAGTTATAACTCAACTTTTGTAAGATATTTTTCAACAGCAAAATTTATATATTTTTAACCTACCTTGTAAATTGGTCTAGGCTTCCAACTTGGCTAAGCATATAAAAATTAAAGGTAATAATTAATTATTAAGTTTTCATAAGTTACCATATTGTAGTTTTTATATCCGTATACAGATATATATATTTAGGTATATAAATATATATATATATATATATATTTAGGTATATAAATTAGAAATATGGTTAAATTTAATTTAATTTTACGTCGTATAATTTTGTTTGCTTTACTTACATCATTATTTGAAAAATCACCATTTCCCGGAGGTCCTGGAGGTCCGGGAGGTCCTTGTAAACCTCTTTCTCCGTCTAATCCTGGTTCGCCTATTATTATTAAAAATATTTTAATCTAGTTTTTTTACAAAGAATTATAATATACCTTTTGGGCCTTGAAGTCCTTCATTGCCTCTTGGTCCACTGTCTCCCCGGTCACCTTTATCACCTATACATTTAATTAAAAACATTCCGTTAATATAAGTATGCTTACAACAAACCAAATGAGTATACCATAATCACTATAAATATTAATTGAAACAAAATAAAGAAAAACTAGATACAAAAATTGAAATTACATTTTTGCTTCGATGCAAAGCTAAGAAAGTATTAATTTTACTATGATTTTTTTTTATGTCTGTCGCCAAATGAAGGACCGATTTCTTTCAACAATACGTCAAAAAATCATCAATCGTAACTAGTTGAAGACTTTGACCTTAAAAATTGAAAAAATGTTCCTCGTGACCTATAAATGGGGTATATCCTCCAAAAATAACGACTTTTATAATCGGTAAATTTCGATATTTTTTTAATCTTTCTTTTCTTAAAACTGCCAGAAATTATTGAAAAATTACTAAATCAAAATAATTTTTTTTATATAGAAACCTTAGGTATTTACCTCTCATTTGGTATATATAATTTTTTAATCTGACTCTTTAGCTAACAACAGAGGCGGATTTAAAGTAGCAATTTTTTTAAAAAAGTCTATTTTTTCAACTTAACTTTTGAAATACTGTGTCTTCTAAACATAAGTTAAATTAAAGCTTATATTACATACTGTATATTCAAAAAAAAATTTAAACGACCTATCTGCTATGTGCAAATGGTTGTCGAAGTTGAACAAATTTATTAAATATTTATTCATATATTACACTCCCAAATCATCAAACTTTTAATCAGGATATAAATATGGAAAAAAAAGAGTTCATTTTGCTTTGGTATAATTCATTAATTTCTTAAAATTAAACGTTATATACAGGTTTGTATTGAAGCGTTCTTATGATAGTGATTTTTTCCGAAAATAATAGCTATTTTAGAATTAGTTAAACTTAATAAGTATTTATAGTAATGGATATTGTTTGACATTTTTACCTTTAACGCCTTCAGGTCCACGTTCGCCTGGTAATCCTGCAGGTCCCTGAAATCGTAGAATTGTTATATTATAAATCGATAAATAATTTAATAATAATTGAAAATGTATTGAAATAATTAGATATTTTAATAATACTTTTTTAAACATTAAAGATATAATTTTAAAATAATTTCAATGCTAACGACAATGTATTAACATATCACGTTTAAATAACATCGAAATAAATATACGTATTCATTTCATTTCAAAAATAAAAATATAGTTTAAATAATACCAAACATAACAAAATGCGTGTATGAGATTAAAAATATTTCATTAATCATTCTATAACTCGTGTATGTATCACACAATGACACATAGATTTTAAAGTAATGTGCAATAAATCTCTGACAGTTTTCCATCAATTATGTTAAAATTGATAAAAACATAGTATTATAATTTCACCTTCTTTAAACAATCAATTGTGTATGTTTTTATATTTAAAATTACGTTTTAAACAAAATAGCTTAGTTAAAAATTAAACAAACTTTTAAAATATTATTACTTATTAAAATATACTTTCGACAATACATCGTTTTTATTTTTTCACTTTAACTTAACCTACCCGCTTTTTCCTGGCTTTCCTAAATCTCGGCCTCGACGATGGCGTTTAATCGAATTTCCACTGTATTTACATATTACATTTAACTTAACAATATTACACAATTAATATTAGCTATCTTTAAATAACATTTGCATTACTGTCGAGTATACCCTGATTAGGCTAAAACTGTAATAGCATTATTTTAATGTTTAAGTATGTATTTACAAATTCCCAATGGTCATTTTACAGACTTAAACTCCAATAACGGTTTGTGCATATTGATATTTTGTCGGTTTATCCTAAGCCTAAAGTATCGTTTTGGGTAAAAGCTCTCAATTTAAATAAACTTATAAAAAAATTTCATTCAGTTATAATAAAACATAATGTATGCTTTTACCGAAAAATAAGTATTAAAAACAAAATAACCTTTTCAAAAAAACTCTAATTTTGCTTAAATATTCGCATAACATATTTAATAATGTATACAATGTTTAACTACAAATAATGAAGCAATATTTCCAATATATATATAAAATATAAATACAACTCTCTAAAGTATTAAATTTAAAGTATAATTTAATATAGTCTGTTAGAACTAGTTGAAAAATTATAAATAGAAGAAAGAATTATTTAGTTTAAATAATTAGTATACTTCAATTTCTAACTTCATTTAGAACAACATACATTGGCTAAATTAAAGTCAAATAATAAACTGGTGGAAAATAAAATGAAAAACTTAAAAAATACACAATTTAATATCAGGTTTTATAAAATATTAATTAAATAGTTATTGGTCTTGTTAATTTTTAATTACAATATGAAAAATATTTTTTTTATTAATTATAAAAATATTTATTATGCTTTCAAAAACTTTCCTTTTTTCGACGAAATAGTTTCAATTAATATTACAGTTATTAAACCATTCACTTATTAAAGACGAGTGCTTTTCAAATAATTTTTTATTTAACTGAATATATTTTGATTTTAATGTTCCTACAAATAATTTACACTTTTAGCAAAAAATAAGTACGGCAAACAAATAAACAGTATAATATAGTGACCACGGTTTACACTCAAACATCATCAAAATGAAGAAGGGCAAATTTATCTAAAAAAAAAGGTCTTTCTCAGTATCGTATATATATATATATATATATATATATATATATATAGTATTAAAAGTAAGTCTACAAGCAAACAACGTTTTAAACCACAATGATGTATGGGCTAGCATCGATTGTATTTTATCTCCCTACGCTTATTCGAGGAAATTTAAAAAAAGTACATAAAAAATGTACTAATTATTCTAATATTTTTCTAAATTGAAATTCGGATTTAATTAATTTTAATCATAGAAATATTTAGATTAGATATAATTAATTTAAAATGTCACTTATCATAATATTAATATCATGGTAATTAAAAAAATTTTCTTAGATAATTAAATTGTATTAAGGTTAATACTAAACAACATCAAATTATTTTCTAGTCTTGAAATACTAATTATTCAAAACAATAATTAAGCAGTAGTTTTATTTAAACGTAAAACTACTGCTAACATCATCAAACTGAATAAATAACTCAATTCAAATTGTATTATTTACAATATTAACTAACAAAAGTTCTATAAATGATATAGATTACGTTGCCTTAATGTATTGTCACCAAAATATTGGTAACGTATAAACAAATAAGTAAACAATTTTACTACGATTAATTTTGCCGTTCATTTTATAACTAGCTTAAAATATTGTAATTTTTTAGAAATTATAATTGTTTATAATGTAGTATCACATTATAAACAATTTATCAAATAAAATTTCATTAATTATTAGTAAAATCAAATTTGATTTCATTTATATATCATGAATTTTCAAACGCATTACATGTTAAACTATTAATGGTTTATCGACAGTTTGATTAAACCAATGCTACATAAGCTTATTAACTCACCGGAAGCCCAGTTAATCCAGTCTTTCCGTCAATACCGGGAATACCCGGTGGTCCCGGTAGTAAGTCAGGTATATTTCCAGGCGCGAACAACGTTGTTAAATTGCAACTACACACTCCAGGTGGACCTCTTGGTCCCAATACTCCAGATTTAATAAGCTAGAACCATAAAAATCATTTTTAGCATAGAAATAATTTATAATAATAATAGGTAAAGTGATTAACTAAACGTTTTATAATAGCAATATAATACATTTTCAAATAATAATTTTTAAAACTGTTGGATCGACTTAATTTTTTTTTTTAGTGGGGTCATTAGTGCTGCCCTAAATAAAATAGCCGATCATTGATTCAAGTTACATGAAAAGTTCAAAAATGGATTAACAGTTAATAATACAATACTGTGTGTATTCATCATTTATGGTATTTATATGAACACATAAGACAACAAAAGCTTAACCCAATTTCCGCCAACTTTCTTAATAACGCCCAACATTTATACTAATGTATTGTGTGTATGTGGCGTTGTGAAATCGAAACTTTGCCAATTTAAATGAGATGCATATAACTTAGCGGTTGAAATGCAATAGAACATAATCTAAATCACTAGTATTTTGTAGTCTAGTGAATACAACGGTAATAATAATACTTGTAACAAAATTTGAGAATATCATTGCACGGACTAAGGATGAGTACGCTAGTTTTAGTTAATTTAAAGAAGTTTAAAAGAAAAATTACAGAACTACATTATTAAACTATATGAACTAATTTACAACGTGATTATCTGATAATGATTCTATTGTAATCTTCATTAACCACCACTAGAGCATTTTAAATTTCCCGTTTAATTCGACTAAAATAATTTCTTTCGATAATTTTAGCAAAACATTTATGGTAATCTAACATTTTCTTATCGTATCCTAAGTAGTTTTTATATAAAATATATTTGCAGTAATAACAAACTTCCGTATTTTGCTTTTCTCAGTAAGCAAAAATACATTATTTTTAATTAAATATGATTCATATTTTCTTAACTTACAATAACAATAATAATTGAAATAAAATTATAATAATTTTTTAAGCTATTTGAAAACGTATATCTATTTAAAACAATGATCATTTTTGTTTATCAGCTGATAAACTGATAATGCTGAATGAACTCAACTAATTGTATTTCTCTCATAATAATTTTTTATCTTAACACACTACATAATTTTATGAAAAATTTTTATTATCTATTATAATCAATAATGAGAGGGGGGCCTGATAACCACCCTCGACGTCTCCTCACCCTAAATCAGTCATTTTCATAATTAGATCATTATCTAGTAAATTATCATTATCTAGTTATATATGTATTTCACCATTTAAAAAATTAAGCTGAAAAAACCATATAAGGTAAAAGGAATGAACAAAAAAAAACATTTTATTATTTTATTAATGAATTAAGATTATCATTCATCTAAACAAAAAAAATGTTCAATATTATTACTTTTTAAAGTGGTTCTTTCCAGTAGAATTTTAAAATAATTTCATTTTAAATAATTAAAATGAAATGGTATTAGTGCTTAATTAAAATATCTATATTTATATATTTAAAATAAACTTATTTAATTTAGATGACATTTTAATGATAAATAAGCTCTTTTTAACTTTAAGCAACTATAATAATAATCGTGATACTTATTGAATTTTAATATCTTCATACTTTCGTATTATAAGTTTTCATAGCAGTTTATAGTTATATATTATACTTACTTGTTCGTCGGTTGTGAAATCACCAGAAAAAGGAGTCCCTGGTGGACCAGGAGGCCCTGGTGGTCCTCGAATCGACTCTCCCTGAAATAAACAGTATTAATGTTATCAAATTGTTATCAATTATTGTGCTATCAAATCATTAAAATCAATAATTCTGCTAACGAGTAAAACTATAGAAAAATGTTAGTATCTATTAGAATGAGACATTATCTAATATAGATATTGTATGACACTATAATTATAATTAGATGTATTGTAATGAAGTGACAAACTTCAACTTAACATAAAGTATATATACCTTTTGACCTGGATCTCCTTTTTCTCCCTTGATATTTTCATAATTGTGGTTTTCTGTAAAAACAAAATGCCAAGATTTTTTTAATTGTTATAGTAAAATATGTATAGATTGATACTTGTAATAATTTACAACGATAATTTAATAAATATATTAAAATGTTATATAGCTTTATCCAATAATTAGTATATTTATTAATTGCTAATTTTTATATATCATTGATTTAAATATAAACTAAACTTAATATATTATCATATAATTATCAAATTTTTATATTGATTTAGACTCTGACAGTTTTATTAAAAATAAAAGCAAAACAAAGTTTTATAGCATAGAAGTAAATTTATTTTTACAGATTATTTTACCATTCGATGGAGGCGGTGGTGGTGGAACTGGTGGTCGATTTGTGTATCCAGTTGCTATATCATCAGTTCGTTCTAGGTCTTTATCGTCTTCTGGCTGAAATAAAATTTTATTTGAAAATTATTATATTGCAGTAAAAAGCATTTTAAATTATAATCTTTGTCATGTTAAGGAAATTAATTTATAACGCAGACCCCGTTTTACGATTCTAACTGCGGATGTGCTAGTTTTAATGATTCCATGCAACTCTTGTCGCTTTGTATGAACGTATAATAAACACAAAACACATTTGAGGCCGTTTGAATCGTCCAGCGAGTCCCTCAAACCTTATCAGATCATACGTGTCGCAAAACTTGGTTATTTCATAAATTCTACATACGAAAGCAAAATTTTTATCCTGTGTGTTTATCAAAAGTACATATAAATTCATAAATAAAGTTACGCAGCAAAACTTTCGCTGAGAAAAGCCATAGAATTGGGATAAACCAATTTACTCATACTTTTAGAGACCTTATTTGACACACACTTTCCATATCCTTAGACGAAATTTATTTTACTTAATAGTTGTATTATTATTCAAGAATTTGAATAAATTCTTCTCGCAATAAATATATAAAATTGTATTTAAAATAAATCATTTAACATTATCCTCATTATTTTTTAGTTAACCTTAAAAATTTTTTGATGATCGCTGTAGATATTGCTTCACAATTTTTATTCGGTATAAATACATTTGTTGAAATATATTTCAGAGAATTTAAAATGATGTAATTTTTTAGACTTATTTTCAATTATAATTTATTAATACATAAATAATGGAAAAAGTTAATGTAACCGTTAACTGTAATAAATTAGCCTTAAAATTTGAATACGCAGAGGTTAAGAATTAAAATCTGAGCAATTGTCTAATGGTTATTCAAAAATCTATTGAACAAAATTACAATTCGGATTAAACGTTATAATTAATTGAATGTCTCTTCAAGAATCTTTTTATTTTATAAAGACTTTAAAAAGCTAGTCTTGTTTTATGGAATGGTAAAATACGCTGGAAATTAGCCAACAGTTACAACAAAAAGATACACAACGAAATCATGTCTGTAAAAACTAACTTCAACTATTAGTTTCATTGTTTGTATCTAAAACATGTATAGGCGTCCAAAGTGGTTTGTTGAATAAATCTAGCACACTTCTTAGAGTTTGTATTCCGTTTCGTACCAGAGTAGAAAAAATAAATAGCACTTAACCACGAACACATGTGATATCTTTTATAGGTTGAGAATTATTATGTCCAACGCTTTTAAGACGCCACCACCAATTCAAACGAGTCTTTTAGATGGCAATAATAATTGTTGTTGCCATAACAAAGAAGTTAAAATTTTGTTTAAAGGAACGATATTGTTTGTTTATATATATATATATATATGACTTTATTGACATAAATATTATTTTTCATGGCTTGTATTGAACCTTCTTAGTCAGTTTCATTATTAAATATTCTAAAATTATTTTGATATATTATTATTATATTATATTTATACTTTTTAAATTAAGATATCACCAATGGATTATCATTTTGTGATTGATGTTCAAATCACTTTGTTGTAATGTGTCTATTACCATAGTAAATTGTATTACTCAACCTTTTTAAATAATTCAATAACTATATAAAAACGTATCTACATATAAACACATTATTTTTTCGATGATACCATGTGCTAACTGAAGATATAGATGGATAAATAAACACAAGCAACGCTGACGATTGATTAATTGAAAAATGGGCGTAGAATATGTTAAGTAAAAAATGTTATTTTTATCGTTTTGTCCAAAAAGACGGCAGTATTAGGCCAAGTCTCAGCCCACAATGTAGTCATCAACGATGCTGTATACCCTGCTCTTGCTTTTAATATTATAAATGAATACATTCTGTGTTATTATTTAATTCATTTTTTTAAGTACACTTGTATTACATTAAAAAAAAAAAGTTCAACTAGTAAAAACTAAATTTTTAATGAAAGCATATTCATCACAAAGTTAACTGTATCATTACTCAAAAAATAAAACGGAAAATTAAAGATTCATATTCACTGCAATAACATTTGGTTTATTTGTATCTATAGGTATATAATTATTTGTCATTTTTTATACATCTCTACTTTTTACTTTGAACCCTTAAACCATACAGTTTTGATGAGGTGGGGTAGTATATTATTTAACTAATTCTTCTATTGTAGTGAATTGACTTCTTCCCATATAATTTTTTATTTACTACGACTTCTATAAAATCTTATCTGATTGTCAAATTTCTACGAATTAAACTCGTATTTTTGTTTCAAATAATTCGTTTAGTTTTTCTAAGATAAAAGCTATAAAACTATATACTGTAGCTATGGTAATGTTTAATGTGGTTTTCGACAACATGAGCGATTTGTTGTGAGTCACTTGGGAGAACTTGTCTGCAAAAATATCCTTAACTTATCTATTTTTATAAAACTTTAATTTTGCCAAATTTTGTTGACAAATCAGCAAAAATAAATACATTTGATTTAAGCATATTACAAAATTGTTATTGTTATTATTTTTCTTTGAGAATTAATGACATAAATGTATTTTACCATCCTATTGAGGTTTATCGAATTTTTTTTTTTTAATCGATTTAGTTTTCCATTATGAATAAGAATATATAAAAAAAAATGTTGTCGGCGAAGCATAGTTTAAAAGTTATAAATTTTCAAAGTTTTCTACTATTGAGCTTGATTTTTGTTATGTTTGGCTATTATTTTTCAGTCATTTTTTTTCATTCACTTGTATGAGTAATCTTTAATGACGTAGTCATCGATTTTTATTAAATTTGTTTGTTTCTAAAATAAATAAAACTGGTTATCATTTTTTCTCAGCTCTCACCGAACCGATTTCTTTCAACGATACGTCAAAAAATCACAAATCATATCTAGTCGAAGATATTACCCTCAAAAATTGAAAAAATTTCCCTCGTTTCCCGTAAATGGGGGAAACCACCAAAAATATTACAAATTTATAATCACTANGGTTTTGTATTTTATTTTAATAGAAGTTGATGTTGCTTTTGCAATTATCCATCAATTTTTTAAAATTAAACACTATCTACAGATTTGCATCGAAGCGTTTCTTATGATAGTGATTTTAATCACTGTCAGATTAAATCTATACTGGACCCTACTATGCAATGTCTCTACTATGCCGCGACCCCACTGTGCTACCGTTTTTTATAGATACCTTAGTTATTTACATTTTATATTTTATATTTTACATTTTTTACTTTAAAACGCTATAACTTTTTAAAAAATGTATGGATCAATACAATTTTTTTATGAGAAGTAGTATTTATATACATATTTCATTCGACATACTGTTTTTTTATATCGAACCATTTCCCTATATACGAGGGGGGTTCAAATCTAAAAAATGCATATAGAAAGTAGAACTTTTTCAACTTAACTTTTGAAAGTGTTCCGAAAGGTCTGACACTTTTATAAATATCTTAAATTACAGGTAATGTAATATACTTTATTATGGAAAAAAAAATTTCGAACTTTATTTTGTCTTCACGGTGAAAATGGCTACCAAGTACTATTTTTGTGTGAAAATTCTCAATTTTATTTTTAAAATTTTTAACTTTATAATGCTATAACTTATTGAAAAGTGTATGGATCAACACAATTTTTTATGAGAAATAATATTTATATCACTTTTATATTCGACATACTTTATCTTAATCAGGATATTAATAAGGAAATAGCAGATCATGAAGCTTTTGAATTAATTCACCAATTTTTTTAAAATTAAACATATCTAAAGATTTGCATCGAAGCCATTTTTTTTATATTGATTTTAATCACTGTCAGATATCATTATATTTGATCCAACTATGCCACGTCACCACTGTATCACGANTATCTAAAGATTTGCATCGAAGCCATTTTTTTTATATTGATTTTAATCACTGTCAGATATCATTATATTTGATCCAACTATGCTACGTCACCACTGTATCACGCCCCCTTGTACTGGGTTTTTTAAATATATTTCTGAAAAATTTTTCAAACACTTTTGAAAAAGCAATAAAAAACACACGTAAAAATATTTTTTTTGAAAAATCTCGATGGTTTGGTAAAATGCATTTATTCCGGATTTAAATAAACTTGTAAGTCTAATAAAATAATATTTTTATTTTATTTTTTAATATTGACTTATATAGAACTTAACACAATAAGGCTGAGTTATTCACGTGGTGATGACTGATATGTACTTTTATTTGTTCAAGATATAGTCGAAGGTGATTCCATTAGCTGAATGGAGATTAGCTCAGTAATTATTGTTGGCATCCCTCTCTTTAGCAACAAACTTACAGCTAAATAGTATATACAGTTACGATAACTATTTTCCAGTTGCTGACTATAAATGTAAGAAAAACTAAAACATTAAATATACTCAATCTGATATCTAAAACAACTTTTTATTATTTTTAAGAGGCAAGGTAAAGAGATCAAAATTGACGAAGTCAAATCATAAAAACTCATTACATTTGAGTTATGTTAATATTAAAAATCTGTATCAGCAAATAAAGAATATTTTTGAAATATACAAATTTGATTATAAGGCTAAATTACTATTATTATTATTATTGGTATAATTGTAGTAATTATTATATGGTTTATACTAACATATTCATATATTTAAAATGTATGTATATAGTTTAAATATTTGTTAAATTCGTTTTTTTTTTTTTGAAAATATATTAATTACATTTAAATATGAATGAAACAATGTTTTGTTGACGACTTACTTTTTTTGGTTAATATAAACATTTTTCAAAATAATCTAATTTCAAAAAGGGTGATGAATGATATCCCTTAAGAGAAATATGCAATAACAAGTATATCAATAGGAATTAAATATAGATTTGTCTCTTTAGAGAAAACTAATCAACTATCAAGAATTCAGCTAAATAATATTCATAACTAAGATAGAATCCAAAAATACGCATCTGATAACTTCGAAGGTATTATAAAATTTGTTTGACTTGATAATATTTCATTAAGCTTATTTTAAAACCA